TGGCCCCCTCCCCCACCCCTGCACACACCCCACCCCCCAGGCTCACACTGGATCTCTGAGGGGGTCCTCTCGGCCTGGCTGTGCTGACCCCGGGAGTGAATGGTGTCCGGGAACATGTCATAGGTCTAAGAGAGAGGAGAAAGGGCTATGGACCTAGTCTGTGTCTCGAACCGTTGAGCCTGGAGCTGCAGGCTCATCACAGCCCTCACAGATGATCTTGAGACAAACCACCACCCTCGATTCAGAGGCGGGAAAACAGCACAGAGAAGTCAACACTGGTTGAAGACCACATGGGAAGCAAGCTGGGTCCTTGCTGGGCAGGCCGGGCCCAAGGGCAGTGGGCTGGTAAGGGTTAAGCTGGGAAGCAGGACTAGTGTGGGCACAGGAAGAACCTAGGCGGGGCTCCACTCTCTGACAGGGTTCAGGCTGCTGTTAACTGGTTGCAATAATGGGTTCAAACAGCAAGGCTGGTGGACAGTGCAGGACCGGCCAGTGTCCCGACCCATGCTGGTGTGACTGGGGGAAGGGCACCACCCACCACTACCTGGACGGAGCCGAGCAGACAAGCTGAGGGACCTTATCTCTAGCATCATCCGGGGGCTCCTTCCTCGGCCAGTTTAAGACCACCTCCAGCTCTGCCCCACTCACCTCCAGCTCACAGTCTTCAGGCGAGGAGGTTCCGAGGTGAGGGTCACTGGCCTTGTCCAACAGCTGTGTGAGGAGGGCCCGAGGGAGTTGCTGGCTTGTGAATGGGTGCTGGAGGGTTGAGGAGACCAGTCAGGTGGGCTGATGGTCTTGGGTCCCCCTCTTTCTGAGCACTGAGTCCCCTGTTCCCCCAGTCTCCCACCTGCAGAAGCCTCTCTGCTGTTGGCCTCTTCTTGGGGTTCTTGGTCAGGGCCAGCTTGAGGAAGTGGTGGAAGTTCTGGGTCCTGATGGGCACAGAGCCCCCACCCCCAGCCCCAGATGAGTCCTCAAGTATAGCATCCTGCCAGCGATCCCCGGTCACCAGCAGTTGCCGGGGTCCACCCAGGAAGTGGGGAGCTCTGGTAGTCTAGCAGTAAGGAGTTGTGCTGCCAACTTGAAGGCTTGTGGTTCGATTATACCAACTGCCCCATAAAAGAAAGATGAGCAATGTCCGTGTGATTTACAGCCTCTGAAAACCCACGGGAGGGTCAGCTATGAGTCAGTTCTCACTAAACGTTACACGACGACTAAACAACCCAGGAAAACAGCCAGCCTGAGGCTGACAGCCACCGCCTGAGCAAGGCTTGTGTTACGACAGAGTAGCCCATGTCATCACCGGCCACCTTCTTCCCTGTCTACCCCAGGTCCTCTCTGATGGGCGGTGGAGGCCCAGAGAGAGGTGCATGCTGGGAGTTGGCAGAAGGCTGCTCCCTGCTGTGGGGTCTGGTTGAAAAGGGGCTTCGGGAGGGGGAGGGAAGACCCTTACCAGCGAGTCTTATCTCTCAGCTTAGGTGGCTGGAAGCTACTCTTGGACATGAGCATCAGGGCCCTGTGGAAAGTGTGAGGTCAGAGGCCAAAGGTCACCAGCAGGTTGAGGGTCAGGCAGGGGTTCACACCAGGCTGACCTCATAGGGTGCAGGTGGAAGAGCGGGGGTTGCAGCTCGCCCAGCTCAATGGCGGTGATGCCCAGAGCCCAGACGTCACACAGCTCGTTGTAACCACCTTTGCGCTCCACGGCTGCCACCTCCGGGGCCATCCTAGAGGTGGGGTCACAAATGGAATGGCCGGGGACCCTACCTGTGGCCCTGGCCCCCTGCCCAAGGTGAAGCCTCACCAGTACGGAGTCCCTATGAAAGACCTCCTTTTAGCCACAGATGCTGTCAGCTCGCCTGACACCCCAAAGTCAGCTGTGGGGAAAAACAGTGACTCTCACCTACCATTTGGCTACCATTCATCCACGGGTTCAGGGTCAGGCAGCACCTGGCAGGGCTTAGGCGACAGGCCACCCAGGTCCAGCCGCAGCTGCCAGAGGCCCAAGACAAGGGAGGGACAACCACCCCCTTCTGGCCGGACAACTGGTCCTGCGTCAGACTGCATGGATCCCACCTCATGCAGTTTAGAGCAGGAAGGGCACTGGCCTCTGTCCTAAGCAGAGAACCTGAGGCATGAGGTAGTGAAGCGGCTTGTCCAGCGCCATCCAGGACTTGAACTTGGAATCTAAGATTTCAGGGGTACCCACAGGCCCCTCTCCCTGGATTTGTCCCCAGGTACTGACCCAGCTTGACATCTCCCTGAAGGGTGAGGAGGAGGTTGGCTCCCTGTGGGAAGGAGAAGAGAGGATCCATCTGGGGCCCCCAGCGGGAGCCGCCTCCTCCCTCCTACAGTGCCCGCCACCAGGCCCTACCTTAATGTCTCTGTGGATCTTCCCCTGAGAATGTAAGTGGTGCAGCCCCTGGGAACAAAGAGGAGCCTCTGAGAGCAGCCCCGGCCCTCATCATCCCACCTGTCTGAACTATCTCTTAGGACTGGGGCCCCCCACCCAGCTGCTTCCTCCTCCCCTCTCCCCAAACAGGAAGTGACTGAGCCAAGAGGGAAATGGGCTGCTTCCTGCAACAGGGCTGGGGCCCTCACCCCCTAGGACCCTCAGCTCCCCAGGCCAGCCCCGCCCAGAGCATCCCCCCCCCACATTGCTGGCCAGCTGGGCTCCCCGCCATGGCTCCTGGGGACCTGGGGTGGGGGCTGTGGTGGGCAAGCTCGGCAGAACCATCTACCTTCAGAGCTTCGCGGCACACATAGGCAATCTGCCGTTCCTCCAGGGGCCCGGTGGCTAAAATGGAAGGGGTCATGGTTGGCCAGGGGGCTGAGTGGCCCACTGAGTCCCCTCAGCTCACCCTGTGTGGGGAAAAGCAGGCAGTGCTAGTGAAACCAGTATCGATCACATCCCCCTCCCTGCACAGCTGGGACCATGAGCCCAGAGGAGGACAGAGTTTCCCTCAAGGTCACACAGCTGGTCAAGAGGAGCGAGTGTCCTGGTCCCCAGCCTGCGCTGCCTGGCTATGCCATCGTGGGGAGCAGAGGGCTGAGGTCCTCCGGGCCTGGACCTGGCCTCACCGTGGTAAATCTCCTGCAAGGAGCCCCCTCCGCAGAACTCCATGCAGATCCACAAGCGATCATTCCTGGGGGACAGAGAGCTGGGGTGGGCACAGGCAGGGCCACTCGGGGCTGCCCTCAGGGACCCAGGAGGGAGCAGCCTTCTCACCTGAGGTAGCTGCCAATGTAGGCCACCACGTTGGGGTGACGGCACTCTCGCAGGATGGTGATTTCCTGCTGGAGGGAGCTGATGTCGTCCCCTGGGGAGCACAGGGCATCATGGGAGGGGGTGGCAGAGAGGTCGCCTGACTCAGTGACCACATCTGCAAAATGGGCGCAGAGCACCTGCCCGGCCCGGGCTACTGCAATTGCTGAGGGTCTCGCAGTGTCAGCGGCCGCCCCCTCACCCACGCCCCGCGCTGCCCTCGCTCGCGCGGAGGCCTCAACCCCGGGCCCTCACCTGGGTCCAGCTTGACTATCTTCACGGCGGCCAGTTCGGACGTGGCCGTGTCGCGGGCCTGCAGGGACGGAGGGGCGCAGGGGTGAGCGGAGGCGGGGCTGGCTCCCCATCGGGGCACCGACTCCGCACCCGCTGCCCGCCGCCGCACCTTGTAGACGTCGCCATATGTCCCGGCCCCCACGCGCTGCAGCAGCTCGAAGCGGTCCCGTGGATCCTGCAGGGACACGTCCCGCAGCAGCGCCATGGCCCGGCGCCGG